CTGAAAATCGAAGAAACGAAAAAGTGAAAAATCGGGAATTCAAAATCGAGAACCTGAAAAATTGATAGACTGAAAACTGGAATAATTGCAAATCGAGAAACTGAAAAATCCAATAATGGAAGCAACGAAATAGAATTCATAATTGAAACTTCGAAAAATCGAAGTAGAAAACACTGAAAAATCGAAAAATTATGAATCGAAAAGCTCAAATGGTGGAAAACTGAAAAATCGATAAATCGTACACCAAAAAATTGAAAAATTGAAAAATTAAAAACCGAGAAATCGAAAAATTGAAAATTCGAAAAATTACAAATCGAAAAATCGAAAAGTCAAAAAACTGAAAAATCAAAAAACTGAAAAATCGAAAAAGTGAAAACTCGAATAATTAAAAATTGTACAACTAATTACGACTGCGAATTTAAAAATTAGACAATGGAAAAATCTAGAAAAAATAAAAATTGAGAATCCGTGAAATCGAAAAATTGAATAAATGAAAAATTGTAAAATTAAAAAGTTGAAAAATCGATTAACACTGAATACATAAATTGAAAAAAGGAAAAACTGAAAGAACCAAAAATAGTAAGGACGGAAAATTGCACAAAATTGAAAAATTCGAAAAATTGAAAAATCTAAAATTTTTAGACCGAAAAATTAAAAAATCGAAAAATTAATTAAAAACCGATGAACTGCGAAACCGAAACTGAAAATTTCAAAAATTAATACATCGAAAAATTAAAAACCGAAAAATTTTGAATTGAGAAATTCCAAATCGAAAAATCAAAGAAACGAAAAAGTAAAAAACTGAAAACTCGATTAATTACAAATCGAGAAACTGAAAATTCGAATAATGTTAGCAACAAAAAATTCAAAGTATCGAAAATGAAAAATCAAGAAATTCAAAAACCGAGAAACTGGAAAATAAAAAAGTTGAAAAATTGAGAATTGAAGAATTGAAGAAATAAAAAATGGAAAAGTTGTAAAATCAAATAGAGAAATTTACGAAAAATTGAAAAACAAAAAATTCAAAATTTTGAAATTGAAAGGTTGGAAAAATTAAAAAACCGAATCATTTGAAATCGAAAAATTGAAGATCTAATAATTACTAATTGAAAAATTGAAGAAACGAAAAACTGAAGTAAGGAAAATTAAGGGAGGAAAGTTTAAAATATGGAAAAATTGCAAATCAAAAAATTCAAGAAACAAAAAATCGAAAAATCGGAAGATTCAACATCCAGAACTCGTAAAATCGTAAAACTGAAAAAATCGAATAATTGCGAACTGAAAAATTTAAGGCACGAAAAATGTAAAAATCGAAAAATTGCTAACCTAAAATTGAACAAGCGAAAAATTGGAAAATCGAAGAATTTAGTTTGAAAATTGAGGAAACAAAAAATTAAAAAATCGAAAAATTTGAAGAAACGATAAATTGAAACAACAAAAAAATCAAATCAAGAACCCGAAAAATCAAACAACTGAAAAATCGAAAAAGTGGAAACTCGAATTGGAAATTGAATAATGTAACGAAAAAAAAATGAAAAAGTTGCGAAAAACTGGTTTTTTCAATTTTTCAATTTTTCGTTTCTTCAATTTTTTAAGTTCTTAATTTCAAATTTTTACTTTTCAGAGTTTTCATTATATACTTTGTCGTTTTTTCCTTTTTGATTTTCCGTTTATACAGTTTTAAAATTTTTACAGTTCTTAGATTTGAAAAATTGAAAAATCCAAAAATTAGAAAAAATTGAAAAATGAAACAAAAGGAAAAAACTGAAAAATTGAAAAACTGGAAAATCGAAAAGCTAAAAAGCCAGAAAACTGAAAAATTTATAAATTGTACACCGAAAAATTGAGAAATCGAAAAATTGAAAATTCGAAAAATTACAAATCGAAAAAAAAAAATTTAAAAAGCGAAAAATCAAAGTCGAATAATTGCCCACTAAAAAATTGAAGAAACGAAAAATTAAAAAATAGGAAAATTGAAGAATCAAAAATTTCAAATTAAGAACCCGAAAATCAAAAAACTGAAAAATTGAAAAAGTGAAAACCCGAATAATGGAACCAAAAATTGAAAAATGGAAAAATTCTAAGTCGCGAAACTAAAAAATCAAAAAATTAAAAATAGTAACATTAATTAAAATTGCGAATTCAAAAACTAGAGAAAGGAAAAATCGAAAAAAATAAAAATCGAGAATCCGTGAAATTGAAAAATTGAATAAACGAAAAATTGTAAAATTTAAAAATTTAAATTCGATTAACACCGAAACTAAAAATTGAAAAAAAGAAAAATTGAAAAATCCAAGAATAGTAATGACGGAAAATTGCACAAAATTGACAAATTCGAAAAATTGTAAAATTTTTAGACCGAAAAATTAAAAAATCGAAATATTACGAACTGATAAACTGAAATATGAAATTTCAAAAACTCAAAAAATCGAAAAATTGTAATATCGAAAAGTTGAGAAATCCAAAAATTAATATATCGGAAAATTAAAAATTCAAAACCGAGAACCTGAAAAATCGAACAATGGAAGCAACGAAAAATTCAAAGTACCGAAATTGAAAAGTCAAGAAATTCAAAAACCCAGAAACTGGAAATCGAAAAGTTGAAAAATTGTGTATTGAAAAAGTGAAGAAACGAAAAATGGAAAAATTGTAAAATCGAATAGTGGAATTTACGAAAAATTGAAAACCGAAAAAATTCAAAATCCCGAAACTGAGAAAAATTTGAGAAATCAAGAAGTTGAAATATCAAAAAGTTGTACAATCGAAAAAATGCAAATCGAAAAACTGAAAAATCGAATAATTACAAACTGAAAATTTTAAGGCACAAAAAATCTAAAAATCGAAAAGTTGCTAATCCAAAGCTGAAAAGTCGAAAAATAACAAATCGCAAAATCGAAAAAACAATGAATTGAAAAGCGAAAAACTAGAAAATTGAAGAAAATTTTAAGTCGAAAATTGAATAAACGAAAAATCAAATAATCCAAAAATTAAAGAATCGAAAAATTGAAGAAACAATAAATTCAAATCAAGAAAAAAGAAAACTGAAAAATTAGAAAACTGAAAAATCGAAAAAGTGAAAACTAATAATAACTGGAAATTGAATAATGTAACGAAAAATTGAAAAATGAAAAAAGTAGCGAACCTGAAAAATTCAAAGATCAAAATTGAAAAACTGAAGGAAGCAAAATTTGAAAAAAAAATCTAGAATCCATGTAACCGAAAAATTGAATACACGAAAAATTGTAAAATCAAAAAATTAAAAATCAGGAAACCCTGAAACCAAAAATTGAAAAACCGAAAAATTGAAAAAAATCAAAAATAGTAAGGATGGAAAATTGCACAAAATTGAAAAATTCAAAAACATGACAAATCTAACATTTGTAGACCCAAAAATTAAAAAATCGAAGAATTAATTAAAAGTCTAAAAATTCTAAACCAACGAATTGAGAAACCGAAAAATTCAAAAATTCAAAAATCAAAAAATCGAAAAATTGAGAAATCAAAAAATTAATGTTTGCAAGTTCTTAATTTCTAATTTTTAATTTTTCACATTTTTCATTATATACTTTGTCGTTTTTTCATTTTTGAGAAATTTTTACAATTCTTTGAATCGAAAATTTGATAAATCCAAAAATTAGAAAAGTTGAAAAATGAAAAAAAAAAGGAAAAACTGAACAACTGGAAAAACGAGAAATTGCAAAATCGGGGAAGTGTAAAACCGAAAAATTGGAACATTGAAAAACTAAAAATCGAAAAAAAATATTAATCGAAAAATTGGAAAAGCCAAAAATTGTAAAATCGAAAAGTTATAGAATCGTCAAAATTGTAAATCGAAAACTGGAACATTGAAAGCTCGAACAATTGAAAAATGTAATAAATGTATAAGTTATAAAAACCAATGATTGAAAAATAAATAATTCTAAAATAGTAAAATTGAAAAAGTGAAAATTTAAAAAAATTATGGTTATTATTACACATTTAAAGTGCAAAGTGCAGAAGTGCAAATAAAAAATTGATAAAAAAAAAATGAAAAATCTAAAATTGGAAACTTGAACAGAAAACATCCAAAAGTTGAAAAACCGAAAAGTTGGAAAATCCGAAAATTGAAAAAAGAAAAATAACTATAAAATCCGAACATTGAAAAACCGAAAAGTTGAAGAAATGAACAATTGAAAAATCGTAAAATTTAAACATTCAACAGTTGAAAAATCGAAAAACTGAAAATTTTCAAACTGAAAAAATTGGAGGAAAAAAATTAAAAATTGGAAAATTGCAAATCGCAAAATTGAAAAAATTTAAATCGAAAAAACAAATAAATTGTAAACTCGGAGTATGGAAAAATCGAAATGAAAAACTGCAAATCGAAAATTGAAAGAACCGAAAAACTGAAAAATTAATGGAGTTTTCACTTTTAATTAAGAGATCGAATATCACGAAAAATTTAAAAGTTGAAAAATGGATAAATTAAATTCGTTGAAATATGCACAACATAAATAAATTAGACATTACAAAGAAATGTAAGAATAAAATTAAACCTAGGAAAACACTCATCAAGGAAATTAGCACAGACAGACAGCCCTGAAAAGTGTGTACGAGAAATGTTGGTCAGTGTTATATTTCTCAGTCTACATTCCATAAAAGAAAACTTCCTGATTAACTAGAATAATAATAATCGAACAACGAAAATCACTTTGTTTATTACACTAGCAATAAACGTTAAACAAGTCGACTTTTATTGGTTTTATTATCTGATTTATAAGTAGCTCTTTATTATTTCCTCAACCAAAACAATTTTTTTTTGTTTGTTAGACATTATTCAGGAACCAACCACACAAAATTTTATTTTTTTTTCCACTTAAACCAGAATTCTTCGTATTTATATTATTTTATTTATTAATTTGTCAGTGGCATACCCTTGAAAAGAACTTCCACATTATTACACAACACAATCATAAAACGACCTCAGAAACCAGTGCTTACATAAACCCACAAAACAACAATTTTATTTTTAAATTTTTATTAAAAAAAATATGTACATAATACTTCGTAGTAAGTCTTAATTAATCCAAAGCCTCTTCCGCCGAGACTTTCGAAAACAAATTATTAATAATTTGTTGTAGCACTAAACCCAGGCCTTTTTCGTATCCTGGTTGAACATCAGCAAACACTTCCTTGAAATTCTCATTCAGGACTTTATTAATATTGTCCCCTAGTTGCTTATCCCCATTGAACAAATTCTCAAAATTAAACGAAACAAACTCCGGATCCAACGTCAGCTTATTGGAAATAAAACTGAAGTACGTTTTCCCATTCTTTGGAACCTCGTTGTAGTCAAAACGGGCCGTCACATTTATATTTTCTACAATTAAAAAAAAAAACGGAATACACAGAGTGACTCAAAAAAAACTTACTCAAAATAATAGTGCTGGGTCCTGTTCCCACAATGGGCAAAAGCAAAATCCTCCCGTTCAGCTCGTACTCGCACAACATCTTAATTTCTGGAAGCACCCCTCTACCATGGAGCGCCTTCTCCTCAAAATCAAACCTTCAAGGACCACTTAGACCCATCACAACCCATCTACTCACCCAAACTCGCTCAGTTTGACGTCGTCGATCCCATACAACTTACAATTTTTGAAATTTTGGTCCACGTTTACCACGCCTTGGGACCCAGCTCCTATTTTCAGTTCGGTGATTTCTAGGGGTGCTAAGCTGGCTAGCCCGATTTGGGAGTAGTATTTAGTGGCTTCGTGGATTCCGATCTGGGCGGCTTCCAAATAGCATTTGTCTGCGTCCGGGTCTCGGCGGTTGCATTTTTTGAAATTGGGTGCTGAAATTGGGGTTTTAGATTTTGGTTGAAGGTGGTTTTGGGACTTACGAAACTTGGCGGCTTGGGTGAACGCGGTCAGGACGAGCAAGGCGAGCACGGTCTTCATGGTGGTATGAGGAATGGTATTTCGGCTGGAGGATCCGTAGGTTTATATAGAGCGGTTTTGTTGCTTATCAAATGTGGTAGAGCTGGTTATTTTTTTTAGCGTGTACGTTAGTAGGTGCAGGATTTAAGTTATTCTTGGTTGTTCATGAGTGACGGATGAATAAATTATGAGGAGTCACTTCTAGGTCAAGTTGGTGTTTAGACGGAGTTTTGGTGGTTTTGTTGGGATGCCGAAGCCCGTTGTGGAAATTTTTCGTAGGTTATTTTTGTCTGTTTTAAAAGGTGGGACGAAGTTCGTGATTTTGATTTTTGCGGACTGTTCAAAAAACAAAAAGGGGAAAAAAAATTACGGAAGTGCGTAACAGAAAATACTTGAATAATCATATATTTTATCATAAGATAAGACCATGAAAAAAAAATGAATGAAACACTTTTTTGTATTTATTTTTTTGGTAATTTGGTAGTCATTTTCAAAAATTTGAAAAGGGAATGAATATAATATTTCCTGATGTGGGTTATTTTTTTTTTCATTAATAATTATTTTCAGATAAACTCGGAAAAAAGAAATGACATCAAGCGAAGCTAATGGTGGTTCGTGTTGTTGAATGACCTCTTCGAAATAATTAATATAATTATTTTTTGCCCAAATATTAGTTAATTAAAGGTTAAATTTGTAAATTTTCACTTCCAGAGTATTTCCTGAACCCCAGAGTATGAAAGAGAGATTTTATTATTGTTGTATAATTTTTTAAATATTGTAATAGATTTTGTGATTTCGAATATTTTCTAACTAAAAAAAAAATCAAATTAGTAAAATAATTTTACAATTTTACTTAGAAAATAAGAATATAACTGGTTGCTCCGAAAGTGTTTAAAGGTTGTTGTAGAGATGGAATATCGTTTATAAAATTTTTTTGTTTCTTCACTCCAAGGACTTGATTGATGTCATCTCAAAATTTTACTGTGTACTGCTTGTGTCGCTTTTTTATCGAATTTTTGTCGTTCTTTTTTGTCACTTTTTTGCCTTTTTCCTTCGCTTATGTTGGCCATTTATTGTCGTTTTTATATTTTTGTAACTTTCTTTTGTCTGTTGTCTATTTCCTTTCGACTTTTTTAGTAATCTTTTATTTTGTGTTTTTTTGGCAACGTTTTTGTAGTGTTTCCCCCTTTTTTGTGGTCTGTTTCTGTCATTTTTTACTCTTTCTTTTATGTCGAGCTTTTTTGTCGTCTTTTTTCGGGCCTGTTTTTGTAGCTATTTTTTGTCACTTTTTTCTTATGTTTTTTTTTGTATTTTTTATAGTTTTTTCGTATTCTCTTTGGGTTGTCTTTATCTATGGGTTTTGTCGCCCTTTCTTTGCCGCTTTCTGTCGCCTTTTCTCTTTTATTTGGTCGCTTTTCTTTGTCGCTTTTTGTCGCCCTTTCCTTGTTGCTTTTTTGTCCCTTTTTTGTTGCCTTTTGTTGTCGTCTTTTTTCCTCAACTTCATTTTATCGCATTTTTCCGACTTTTTCTCTTTTTCTTTGTTCCCTTTTTTGTCGTCTTTTTCATTGTTTGTGGCTTTTTTCGTGGTTTTTGTTTTTTTTTGTAGCTTTTTAGTCCCCTTTTTTTCATTTTTAAGCGTTTTTTGTGGCTTTTCTATCTCTTTTTTGACGCCCTTTCGTTGTGATTGTTTTGTCGTCTTTTTTGTCGATTTTTTGTCGCTTTTTTGTCATCTTTATTTTTCATCTTATTTGTCACCTTTTACCATTGCTGTTGTCTCGCTCTCATTTGACTTTTTTATTTTTTGTTTTTTTTTGCATTTTGCTGTTTTTGGTTTTTTGTCTTTTTTATATCGACCTTTTTGTATTTGTATTTTGTCGCTTTTTAATCATTTGTGGTTTTTGTCGGCGTTTTTTGCTTTTGTCTTTTCTTTGCCACTCTTTTTTGTGACGTTTTTTCTACCCATTTTTCTGTAATTTTTTGCTTTCTTTTTGAGGTGGACGTTTTAGTAGTATTTTTTATGTCATATTTTTCTTTAGCCTTCTTCTCTCATTTTTTATAGGCTTTTTGTTGCTCTTTTCATTGTGGAATTTTTTGGTTTTTCTTTTTTCTTTCTTGTTTTGTTGTCCTTTCTTTTGACAACTTTTTCGTTTATTATTTTCTAGATTTTTTGTAGCTTTTTCTAATCCCATTTTTACGTTTTTGTCATACATTTTTTGTTTTTTTTTATGCGTTTTTTTTTATTTTTTAGACGAGTTTCTGTCGATCTTTGTTTCTCCATTTTTTCTAGCTCTTATCTTGTCATCCTTTTGTCACCTTTATTGTTAACTTGTGTTATTTTTTATCACCTATTTTTTGTTTTTTTTTGTTGTCGCCTTTTTAACACTTATTTTTGGCGCTTTTTTAAAGTTATTGTCTGTTTTTTCCTGAGTCTTTTTTGTTTCTTATTTTTCTACTTTTTTTGTCACGGTGTGTTTCTCTTTTTTTTCATTTTTCTGTCGCCTCTTTTTCCTGTTTTGTTTTTGTTACCCTTTTTTTGTTAATTTTTTTCATTTATTTTTATGCCATCTTTCTCTGGTGCTTTTTGCTCTCTTTTTGTGGCTTGCAGGTTTTTTGCAGCTTTTTTTTTGATGTATTTTACACCGTTTTTTCCACTTTTTTCTAATTTTTCTTAAACTTTTTTGTCGTGTTTTTTCTGTCACTTTTTTCTCTCTCTTTTCGTCGTTTTTTTTTCTCTTGTTTTTGTTACATTTTTTGGAGACTTTTTTTAGTCACCTATTTTTTTGGCGCATATATTTTTGTTTTTTTTGACGCCTTTCTATCGTTTTTACTTTATTTCTTTTTTGTCACCTCTTTTCTCTCTCTTTTCTTTTGCATTTTTTCGTTGTTTTTTGTCCTTTGTTAAAATCGCCTTTCTTTGGCGCTTTTTTTCGCCTTTTTTCTTTCTTTTTCTTTGTGGCTTGTTTGTCTATCTTCCTTTGTTATTTTTCTGTTGTCGCCTTTTTTTCGAAATTTTAGTCACTTTTCTCTAGTTGCCTTTTTTGTGACATTGTTGTCAACCTTTTGTTGTGTTTTTTTTTTTTGAGATTTTTTGTTGCTTTTTTTTGTGGATTTTTTATCACCCTTTTTTGTCCTCTTTTTGTTTTTTTTGTCGCTTTTTTTTGTACCCATTTTTTGGTCGTTTTCAGTTTTTTTTTGTCGAATTTTATTATTTTATTAATTTAGATAAGATATGAGGAAGGAGAACAAAAACAATATTCTGATTATTTAAGCCAACGTTTCGATAACTATATTTTCTCTTCTTCAGGCTATAATCTATGGAATTAGCACCTAAAATTTGTGAAAATTTTGTTTTTAATTAACTGATACTACATGAAACAATTACGTTAAAATGGTTGAACGATAAAATGTCAAAAAATGTCGAAATATTAAAAAAAAAATTTGGGGTCTCGGTCATTGTTGCCAACCGCGGATAAATCTACTAAATAATTCACCAACAATTTTGACATAACCTCAATGAAACCGAAAAGAAAACATATTTTTATGTTTTTTAGGTGCCTTTTTTGGCATTTTTCTCAGGTTTATTAAGTTTTTCTTTTATTACCATTTTTGACGTATTTTCTCGCTTTTTTGCCGCATTTTTTTGTAACCTTTTTTTTCGCCTTTTTGTGGCCGTGTTTTGATCTTTTTTGTTTTTTTGACTCACATTTTTCGCCTATTTTGTTGTTTTTGGTTTTTGTCTTTTTCATCGACATTTTGTCGTTTTATTTGGGATATATTTTAATAATTTAGTTTCATTTTTTGTATTTTTTGTCGCTTTTCTGCCGGTTTTTTTCTCTTTTTTTCGGTTTTTGTTACAGTTTTTCGCATTTTTCTTTCTCATGTTTTTTTTTTCTCTCTTGCTTTGTTCTCCTGTCTTTTGATGACTTTTTTGTTTATTATTTTTTCGAATTTTTTTGTAGCTTTTACCTTGTGGCCCTTTTGTCACGTTTACTGTTGCCTTTTGTGTCACTTCTTTATCACCTATTTTGTTGTCTTTTTTTTTGTCGCTTTTTTAATGCTGTTTTTGGTTCTTTTGTATGGATTTTTTTATTTCTCTTTTTTTGTACTTTTTCGCTCTTTTTTGACGTGAATTTTCACCCTTTTTTGGTCGTTTTTGCTCTCATTTTGTATAAATATTCCAAAGATTTCAAACATTCTAGTTTCCAGAAATTCCGCAACTTGTAAAAATCCTGGATATTCTTAGACTTTAGAGATTCTGGAAATCCGAAATTTTCTGAAGATTCTGAGAATTTTGTACATTCGAGAGATTTTAGAGATTCTAACGAATCTAGATTCTAAATAATCTAAAGATTTTAGAAATTCTAGAGATTCTAAATAATCTACAGATTCTAGAAATTTTTAAGATTGTTTTTTTTTTAATTTCGAACACTTAAGATGCCAAGAATTCTGAAGATTATAAAGATTTCGAAGCCTTCAAAGTTTCTAAAGATTCTAGAGATTACAGAATTTTTAAAGATTTCAGATATTCCGAGACTCTAGAGAATCCAGAGAGTTTAAAGATTCTAAATATTTCGAAGACTGAAGATTCCAAAGATTCTGAAGATTATAAAGATTTTAAAGGTTTCAGAAATTCTAAAGATTTCGGATATTCCGAGACTAGAGATTCCAGAGATCCTGAAGAATATGAAAATTCTGAAGATTTAGAAGATTGAATATCTCAAAAGTTTTGAACACTTTGAAGATTGTGAAGATTCTCAATTTTCCAAAGATTTCAAGGATTCTAAAGGGTCCGGAGATTCCACAAATTCCAAAGAATACGAATATTCCGAGACTAGAAATTCCGGAGATTCTGAAGAATATGAAGATTCTGAATATTACGAAAGCTAAAGATCTCAAAAATTATGAAGACTGATGATTTTCTGGATTTCAAATATTCCAAAGATTTCAAACATTCCAGTTTCCAGAAATTCCACAACTTGCAAAAGTCTAGGATATTCCGAGACTTCAGAGATTCTAGAAAACCGAAATTTTCTGAAGATTCTGAGAATTGTGTACATTCAAGAGATTTTAGAGATTCTAACGAATCCAGATTCTAAATAATCTACAGATTCTAGAGATTCTAGCGATTCTAGAGATTTTAGAAATTTTAAAGATTTTGTTTTTTTTTAATTTCGAACACTGAAGATTCCAAGAATTCTGAAGATTATAAAGATTTCGAAACCTTGAAAATTTCTAAAGATTCTAGATATTACAGAAATTTCCAAGATTTCAGATATTCCGAGACTAGAGAATCCAGAGATCTTAAAGATACTGAATCTTTGGAACACTGGAGATTCCAAAAATTCGGAAGATTATAAAGATTCTAAAGGTTTCAGAAGAGTCAAAGATTTCGGATATTCCGAGACTGGAGATTCTAGAGATTCTGAAGAATATGAAAATTCTCAATATTTCGAAATTTGAATATCTTAATAGTTTTGAAAACTTTGAAGATATTCAAGATTCTATATTTTCCAAAGATTGCACGGTTTCTAGAGGCTCCAGAGATTCCACAAATTCCAAAGATTACGAATATTCCAAGACCAGAAATTCCAAAGATTCTGAAGAATATGAAGATTCTGATTATTTCGAAAGCTGAAGGTCCCAAAAATTATGAAGACAGGATTTTCTGGATTTTAAATATTCCAAAGATTTCAAACATTCTATTTTCCAGAAATTCCACAACTTGCAAAAATCCAGCATATTGCGAGACTTTAGAAATTCTGGAAACCCGAAATTTTCTGAAGATTCTGAGAATTTTGTACATTTGAGAGATTTTAGAGATTCTAACGAATCTAGATTCTAAATAATCTAAAGATTTTAGAGATTCTAGAGATTCTAAATAATCTACAAATTCTAGAAATTTTAAAGATTCTGTTTTTTTTTAATTTCGAACACTGAAGATGCCAAGAATTCTGAAGATTATAAAGATTTCGAAGCCTTCAAAGTTTCTAAAGATTCTAGAGATTACAGAATTTTCAAAGATTTCAGATATTCCGAGACTCTAGAGAATCCAGAGAGTTTAAAGATTCTAAATATTTCGAAGACTGAAGATTCCAAAGATTCTAAAGATTATAAAGATTTTAAATGTTTCAGAAATTCTAAAGATTTCGGATATTCCGAGACTAGAGATTCCAGAGATCCTGAAGAATATGAAAACTCTGAATATTTCGAAGATTGAATAACCCAAAGTTTTGAACACTTTGAAGATTGTGAAGATTCTAAATTTTCCAAAGATTACAAGCATTCTAAAGGGTCCGGAGATTCCACAAATTCCAAAGATTACGAATATTCCGGGACTAGAAATTCCGGAGATTCTGAAGAATATGAAGATTCTGAATATTTCGAAAGCTGAAGATCCCAAAAATTATGAAGATAGAGGATTTTCTGGATTTTAAATATTACAAAGATTTCAAACATTCTAGTTTCCAGAGATTCCACAACTTGCAGAAATCCAGGATATTCCGAGACTTTAGAGATTCTGGAAACCCGGAATTTTCTGAATATTCTGAGAATTGTGTATATTCGAGAGATTTTAGAGATTCTAACGAATCTAGATTCTTCTTTTGTCATGTTTTTTATGTGATCTTTTTCTCTTATCTTCTCACTTTTTTTGTTGGATTTTTTTCGTCTTTTTTTCGTCTCTTCCTGTCTTGTGTTCATCACTTTTTTTCATTTACTTTTATGTAGTGTCTTTCTGGTGTTTTTTGCTCTCGTTTTCCTTGTAATTTTTGTGTGTTTTTATACTTTTTTTGTAATTTTTTTCTGCACTTTTCTGTCGCCCCTTTTTCCTGTCTTGTTTTTGTTACCCATTTTTAGTTGATTTTTTTAATTTATTTTTCTCCTTTTTGCTCTTTTTTTATGGCTTGTAGGTTTTTTGTAGCTTTTTTTTTTATGTATTTTACACCGTTTTTTTCCATTTTTTTTACATTTTTCCTGGACTTTTTGTCGTCTTTTTTTTCTATCACTTTTTTCTTTCTTTCTTGTAGCATTCTTCTGTGGCTTTTTTCTCTTTTGGTTTAGTTACCTTTTCTTTAGTAATTGTTTTGTAGACTTTTTTGGCGTATTTTTGTCAAAGCTCAGTGTCAAAAAGTGTCAAAAAAACGTCAAAAAATGTCAAGAAATGAAATTAATTTCTTCTTCATTGTTGGCAACCGCGTATAAATTTACTAAATAATTCATTACATTAGCAATTTTTACATAACCTGAATGAAACAGAAAATAGAAATTTATTTTTAGTTGTCTTTTTTTGGTGACATTTTCTCGTTTTTTTTTTTGGCGAATTTTTTGTCACCCTTTTTTTGCCCTTTTTTGTTTGTTGTTTTTTTTTGTGATAGTTTTTTGACACATTTTTCACCTTATTTCCTTTTTTAACTCTTTTTTTTCGCCTGTTTATTGTTGCATTTTTTGTATCTGTTTTTCTTCTTTGTGACCATTTTTTAATGCTTTTTTCACATTCGTTTTTGTCGCTTTGTTTGTCCCATTTTTGTTATGTTTTTTGGTCGCCTTTTTTTCTCTTTCGCCCTGAAATTATTATAAAACCCGCTGTTCTGAAATCTTGCAAATATTGTGTGATAAATAGCTAATCAAAACTTCTTGTTTGTCTCTCAAAATTTTGCTGGGTAAATCCCACTTAAATAATATTTTTTAATCAGGAACCTGAAAAAAATATAAAAACTCGAGACACTTGAACAACTTGAACTACGTGGAACCGTGGATGTTCCCTCTATAACTTCAGACCAGTTTTTTAATGAACCTTTTACAAATCTTGGAAATGGGTAGGAAAACTGGACGTCGTGGTACTAACCCAGGTAGAGATCACTGGGGAACCACGTAAGTTCAGGGGCAACCGTGTTATTATATGTTTTGGAAGAGTTGTTTACCTCTCTCGCTATTTTTAGTAATGAGTTTCTGGCAAATGAAAAAGAAAAACCATAAACAGCAAAACAGAATAATTGTTTTGGCGATAATGAAAACCTAATAGTACTGGTTTTTTATTTAGAATTACTTTACAAAGCTACACAATTAATCGAAAGCTTCATCCATCGAAACTTTCGAAAACAAATTGTTCAAAATTTGCTGAATTATTAAACCCAGACCTTTCTCGTACCCTTGCTGAACATCAGCGTACACTTCCTTGAAATTGTCGTTCAAAACTTTATTAATATTGTCCCCTAGTTGCTTATCGCCGTTAAACAAATTTTCGAAATTGAAAGAAACGAACTCGGGATCCAAAGTCACCTTGTTGGAAATAAAATGAATATATTCTTTTCAATTCTTTTTGACATATTCGAACTCGAAGTGAGCGGTTATCTGTAAATTTTCTAAAAAAAAAAAAAAATTGAGATAGTGTGACGAAGAACCAAAAATAACATACTTAAAATGACAGTGCTGGGTCCTGTTCCCACGATGGGCAGAAGCAAAACCTTCCCATTTAGTTCATATTCGCACAACATCTTAACCTCTGGAACCGTTCCTCTATTCCTTAACACTTTCTCCTCAAAATCAAATCTTCACGAACCACTTAGCCCACCACCAAATCACCTACTTACTCAAACTGGCGAATTTTCGCCTTCTCGAACCCATACAATTTACAATTTTTGAAATTTTGGTCCACATTCACGACAGCGTGGGAGCCAGCTCCTATTTTCAGTTCCACGATTTCTAGGGGTGCTAAGTTGGCCAGGCCGATTTGGGGGTAATTTTTGTTAGCTTGAAGGACTCCGAATTGGGCGGCTTCCAAAATGCACTTGGCGGAGTTTGGGTCTTTGCGGTTGCATTTTTTGAAATTGGGTGCTGCAATTTAAACAAGAGTGGGGAAACGGTGGTTGAAGACGGTTGTGCAGACTTACGAAACTTTGCGGCTTGAGTGGAAACGAGTAAGAGGAGGAATGCGAGCACGGTTTTGATCGTAGAACGGTAACTAAGTTTTTGACTTGAAGTTCGTGAATTTATGCGAAACGTTTTGAAATAAATTTGAATGATTTAGAGCTGGTTATTTTTTGTTAGGTTTGAGGTAATAGGTTTAAATTTAATTTATTTTTTGTCGACAATGATTAGTTTTTGTGAGACTGTGTCGATTTGAAATCTTAGTCGGATTAAAATTTTTGTATACAATTACCTTGTTTGGAATGTGCGATATGTAAAATTTTCTGAAATTTTTTACATAATGCGTATAGTAATGAAGTTAAAAAAGCCTGTTTCTTCGACTTAGATTTACAGATTACTGATTAAAAAAATCTTGCAGGATTTTAATAAATTAAGAAACTTGATTTTTTTAACATAAGAAACGATAAAATCGAAGATATTGAAAAACTTAAAAAAATTCAGAAACTTCAGTCTTCTGATTGCTAAATTATCAATAAAAACAATAAAATACCAAAAATTGGTTCGAGGAAATTGGAAAACTTAAAAAATTTTGTAATTTTGAAAACGTGAGGAATTCGAGATCCTTCAAGAGTTTGAAAAACTTAAAACCAAAAATACTGAGACTTGAAGGACTTGAAAAACTTCAGCAATTTCGGTCTTCTGATTGCCAAAATGAGCATTATCAATTAGCAACGGAATCATTAAAATGTGAAAAATTGGTTTGAAGAACTTGGAAAACTTAAAAAACTTTGGAAACATAAAAACTTGAGGAATTCCAGATACTTGAAGAACTTGACAAGTTTAAACCCGAAAAAGCTGAGACCCGAGAAGCTTGACAATATTAAAAACTTTGGAAACTTTAGAAACTTTGTATGTTTGACACTCTTAGAAAATTTGTCAAAATGAGCATTATCAATTAGCAATGGAATCATTAAAATGTGAAAAATTTGTTTGAAGAACTTGGAAAAGTTAAAAAACTTTGGAAACTTAAAAACATGAAGTGTTCGAGACACTTGAAGAACTTGACAACTTTAAACCCAAAAAAAGCCGAGACCCGAGAAGTTTTACAATAATGAAAACTTGGAAACTTTAGAAACTTTGTATGGTTGACAAACTTATAAAACTTCAGAAGGCTTAAAAGAGTTAGTAGCAATTTAGCAAATTTTAAACCCTTGGAATTTGGAAGACTCCAAAAATTTGAGCAACTTGAGGAAATTCCGAAACTTGAAAAACTTCAGAAATTTCAGTCTCCTGATTGCCAAAATGAGCATTATCAATTAGCAATGAAATCACTAAAATGTGAAAAATTGGTTTGAAGAATTTGGAAAACTTAAAAAATTTTGGAAACTTAAAAACGTGAGGAATTCGAGACACTTGAAGAACTTGACAACTTTAAACCCATAAAAAGCTGAGACCCGAGAAGCTTGACAATTTTGAAAACTTTGGGAACTTTAGTAGATTTAAAAGAGTTAGTAGCAATTTAGCAAACTTTAAACCCTTGGAACTTGGAAGACTCCAAAAATCTGAGCAAGTTGTGGAAATTAAGAAACTTGAAAAACTTGAAAAACTTCAGAAATTTCAGTTTTTGTGATTGCCAAAATGAGCATTATCAATTAGCAACGGAATCATTAAAATGTGAAAAATTGGTTTGAAGAACTTGGAAAACTTAAAAAACTTTGGAAACTTAAAAGCATGAGGTATTCGAGACACTTGAAGAACTTGACAAATTTAAATCCAAAAAAAGCTGAGACCCGAGAAGCTTGAAAATATTGAAAACTTTGGAAACTTTAGAAACTTTGTATGTTTGACAAACTTAGAAAATTTTAGAAGACTAAAAAAGTTAGTGCCAATTTAGCAAACTTTAAACCCTTGGAATTTGGAAGACTCCAAAAATTTGAGTAACTTGAGGAAATTCAGAAACTTGAATACCTTGAAAAACTCTAGAAATTTCAGTCTTCTGATTGCCAAAATGAGCATTATCAATTAGCAATGAAATCAATAAAATGTGAAAAATTGGTTTGAAGTATTTGGAAAACTTAAAAAATTTTGGAAACTTAAAAACGTGAGGAATTCGAGACACTTGAAGAACTTGACAACTTTAAACCCATAAAAAGCTCAGACCCGAGAAGCTTGACAATTTTGAAAATTTTTGGAACCTTTAGAAACTTCGTATGTTTGACAAACTTAGAAAACTTTAGAAGATATAAAAGAGTTCGTAGCAATTTAGCAAACTTTAAACCCTTGGAAGTTGGAAGACTCCAAAAATTTGAGCAACTTGAGGAAATTAATAAAATTGAAAAACTTGAAAAACTTCAGAAATTTCAGTTTTCTGATTGCCAAAATGAGCATTTTCAATTAGCAATTAAATCATTAAAATGTGAAAAATTGGTTTGAAGAACTTGGAAAACTTAAAAAACTTTGGAAATTTAAAAACATGAGGAATTCGAGACACTTGAAGAACTTGACAACTTTAAACCCAAAAAAAGCTGAGACCCGAGAAGCTTGAGGATATCGAACAATTTGGAAACTTTAGAAACTTTGTATGTTTGACACACTTAGAAAACCTTGGAAGATTTAAAAGAGTTAGTAGCAATTTTGCAAATTTTAAACCCTTGGAGGTTGGAAGACTCCAAAAATTTGAGCAACTTGAGCAAATTAAGAAACATGAAAAACTTGAAAAAATTCAGAAATTTCAGTCTTCTGATTGCCAAAATGAGCATTATCAATTGGCAATGAAATCATTAACATGTGAAAAATTGGTTTGAAGAATTTGGAGAACTTAAAAAATTTTGGAAACTTAAAAACGTGAGGAATTCGAGACACTTGAAGAACTTGACAACTTTAAACCCGAAAAAACTGAGAACCGAGAAGCTTGACAATATTGACAACTTGGAAACTTTAGAAACTTTGTATGTTTGACAAACTTAGAAAACTTTAGAAGACTAAAAAAGTTAGTAGCAATTTAGCAAACTTTAAACCCTTGGAAGTTGGAACACTCCAAAAATTTGAGTAAATTGAGGAAATTCAGGAACTTGAATTCTTTGAAAAACTCTAGAAATTTCAGTCCTCTGATTGCCAAAATGAGCAATATCAATTGGCAATGAAATCATTAAAATGTGAAAAATTGGTTGGAAGAACTTGGAAAACGTAAAAAACTTTGGAAACTTAAAAACATGAGGTATTCGAGACACTTGAAGAACTTGACAACTAAACACGAAAAGGCTGAGACCCGAGAAGCTTGACATTATTGAAAATTTTGGAAACTTTAGAAACTTTGTATGTTTGACAAATTTAGAAAACATTAGAAGATTTAAAAGAGTTAGTAGCAATTTAGCAAACTTTAAACCCTTGGAAGTTGGAAGACTCCAAAAATTTGAGCAGCTTGAGGAAATTAAGAAACTTGAAAAACTTGAAAAACTTCAGAAATTTCAGACTTCTGACTGCCAAATTGAGCATTATCTATTAGCAATAAAATCACTAAAATGTGAAAAATTGGTTTGAAGAATTTGGAGAACTTAAAAAATTTTGGAAACTTAAAAACGTGAGGAATTCGAGACACTTGAAGAACTTGACAACTTTAAACCCAAAAAAAGCTGAGACCCGAGAAGCTTGACAATTTTGAAAACTTTGGAAACTTCAGAAACTTTGTATGTTTGACATACTTAGAAAACCTTAGAAGATTTAAAAGAGTTAGTAGCAATTTAGCAAACTTTAAACCCTTGGAAGTTGGAAGACTCCAAAAATTTGAGCAACTTGGGGAAATTAAGAAACTTGAAAAACTTGAAAAACTTCAGAAATTTTAGTTTTCTGATTGCCAAAATCAGCATTTTCAATTAGCTATGAAATCATTAAAATGTGAAAAATTGGTTTGAATAACTTGGTAAACTTAAAACACTTTGGAAACTTAAAAACATGAGGTATTCGAGACACTTGAAGAACTTGACAACTTTAAACACGAAAAGGCTGAGACCCGTGAACCTTGAAAATATTGAAAACTTTGGAAACTTTAGAAACATTGTGTGTTTGACAAACTTAGAAAACTTTAGAAGATTTAAAAGAGTTAGTAGCAATTTAGCAAACTTTAAACCCTTGGAAGTTGGAAGACTCCAAAAATTTGAGTACTTGAAGAAATTCAGAAACTTGAAAAACTTCAGAAATTTCAGTCTTCTGATTGCCAAAATGACCATTATCAATTAGCAATGGAATCACTAAAATGTGAAAAATTGGTTTGAAGTACTTGGAAAACGTAAAAAACTTTGGAAACTTAAAAACGTGAGGAATTCGAGACACTTGAAGAACTTTACAAGTTTAAACCCGAAAAAGCTGAGACCCGACAAGCTTGACAATATTGAAAACTTTGGAAACTCTAGAAACTTTGTATGTTTGACACACTTATAAAACTTTAGAAGATTTAAAAGAGTTAGTAGCAATTTAGCAAACTTTAAACCCTTCGAACTTGGAAGACTCCAAAAATTTGAGCAACTTGAGGATATTAAGAAACTTGAAAAACTTGAAAATCTTCAGAAATTTCAATCTTCTAATTGCCAAAATGAGCATTATCAATTAGCAATGAAATCAATAAAATCTGAAAAATTGGTTTGAAGAACTTGGAAAACTTAAAAAACTTTGGAAACTTAAAAACATGAGGTATTCGAGACACTTGAAGAACTTGACAACTTTAAATCCAAAAAAAGCTGAGACCCGAGAAGCTTGAGGATATCGAACAATTTGGAAACTTTAGAAACTTTGTATGTTTGACAAACTTAGAAAACTTTAGAAGATTTAAAAGAGTTAGTAGCAATTTACCAAACTTTAAACCCTTGGAAGCTGGAAGACTTCAAAAATATGAGCAGCTTGAGAAAATTAAGAAACTTGAAAAACTTGAAAAACTTCAGAAATTTCAGTCTTCTGATTGCCAAAATGAGCATTATCAATTAGCAATGAAATCACTAAACTGTGAAAAATTGGTTTGAAGAATTTGGAAAACTTAAAAATTTTTGGAAACTTAAAAACGTGAGGAATTCGAGACACTTGAAGAACTTGACAACTTTAAACCCATAAAAAGCCGAGACACGAGAAGTTTTACAATATTGAAAACTTGGAAACTTTAGAAACTTTGTATGTTTGACAAACTTAGAAAACTTTAGAAGATTTAAAAGAGTTAGTAGCAATTTAGCAAACTTTAAACCCTTGGAACTTGGAAGACCCCAAAAATTTGAGCAAATTGAGGAAATTAAGAAACTTGAAAAACCTGAAAACCTTCAGAAATTTCGGTCTTCTGATTGCCAAAATGAGCATTATCAACTAGCAATGAAATCATTAAAATATAAAAATTGATTTGAAGAATTTGGGAAACTTAAAAAACTTTGGAAACTTAAAAACATGAGGTATTCGAGACGCTTGAAGAACTTGACAAGTTTAAACCCAAAAAAAGCTGAGACCCGAAAAGCTTGACAATAATGAAAACTTTGGAAACTTTAGAAAATTTGTTTGACAAACTTAGAAAACTTTAGAAGATTTAAAAGAGTTAGTAGCAATTTAGCAAACTTTAAACCATTGGAAATCGAAGACTCCAAAAATTTGAGTAATTAAGAAATTAAGAAACTTGAAAAACTTGAATAACTTCAGAAATTTCAGTCGTCTGATTGCCAAAATGAGCACTATCAATTGGCAATGAAATCATTAAAACGTGAAAAATTGGTTTGAAGAACTTGGAAAACTTAAAAAACTTTGGAAACTTAAAAACGTGAGGAATTCGAGACACTTGAAGAACTTGACAAGTTTAAACCCGAAAAAGCTGAAACCCGACAAGCTTGACAATATTGAAAACTTTGGAAACTTTAGAAACTTTGTACGTTTGACAAAATTAGAAAACTTTAGAAGATTTAAAAGAGTTAGTAGCAATTTAGCAAACTTTAAACCCTTGGAAGTTGGAAGACTCCAAAAATTTGCGCACCTTGAGGAAATTAAGAAACTTGAAAAGTTTGAAAAACTTCAGAGATTTCAGTCTTCTGATTGCCAAAATGAGCATTATCAATTAGCAATGAAATCTTGAAAATGTGAAAAATTGGTTTCAAGAACTTGGAAAACTTAAAAAACTTTGGAAATTTAAAAACGTGAGGAATATTCGAGACACTTTAAGAAATTGACAAGTTTAAACCCAAAAAAAGGAGACCCGAGAAACTTGACGATATTGAAAACTTTGGAAACTTTAGAAACTTTGTATGTTTGACAAACTTAGAAAACTTTAGAAGATTTAAAAGAGTTAGTAGCAATTTAGCAAACTTTAAACCCTTGGAAGTTAGAAGACCCCAAAAATTTGAGCAACTTGAAGAAATTAAGAATCTTGAAAAACTTCAGAAATTTCAATCTTCTAATTGCTAAAATGACGATTATAAATTATTTATAAAAACAATAAAATGTAAATAATTACTTTTAGGAACTTGGGAAACTTCAAAAACTTTCCGAACTTAAAAATCTGAGGAAGTCGAGCCTTTTGAAAACTTGAAAAACTTGAAATCCAAAAAACCGAAACTTGTAAAGTTTGACAATTTTGAAAATTTTGGGAGGTTTAGCAACTTTGCATATTTAACGAACTTGGGAATGATTACAAATTTTCAAAATATTTGTAGCAAATTAACAAACTTAAAACGCCTGGACGTTGGAGGACTCCAAAACCTTGAATAACTTGACGAAATTAAGAAACTTGAAAAACTTAAAAAACTTCCGAAATTTCAAATATGGATTATAAATTATTAATAAAAACAATAAAATGTAAACAGTTGGTTTCCGGAACTTGGAAAACTTCAAACACTTTGGAAACTTAAAAACTTGAGAAACTCGGGACATTTAAAGTCCTGAAAAATTGTGACTTGAAAAATTTTACAATCTTGAAAATTTTGGTAAAAAATTAGACATTTTAAAAACGTTGATAACAGTTTAACAAACTTAAAACGCCCGAAAGTTTGAAGACTTCAAAACTTTTAACAATTTGATGGAATTAAGAAACTTGAAAAATTTGAAAAACTTGAAAAACTTGAAAAACTTTAGAAACTTCTCTTGATTGCTAAAATAATAAAATCACCTTCAAAACTTAGAAAATTTCTAAACTTTGTTTAATTGAAAAACTTGGGAAATTTTAGGAACTTAAAAAGTGTTAGTCGCAATTTAAAACCCTTGGAAGTTGGAAAACTCCAAACTCTTGAACAACTTGAGGAAATTGGTAAACTTGAAAAACTTTGAAAACTTTAAAAATTTGAAAAATTGGAAATCGAATAATTTAAAAATCTAAACTATGAGAAATCTAATCATGAAAAGATGGAGAAATTAAGAAACAGAAATAGCCCAAACGAAAAGTTGAAAAGCTGAAATGTTGCGAAATCGAAAAATTGAAAAATCGAAAAATTAGGAAACCGAACAATCGGAAAATGGAAAAATCAAGCAATTGAAACATCAAAAATCAATAAACTGAAAACCGGGAAGCCGAAAAATCGAAAGTTCGAGCAATTAGAACATCAAAAGATCGAAAAATCTAAAATTAAAAAATTCGAAAAATAGAAAAATCAAAGACCTGAAAATTTAAAAACTAAGAAATCGGAGAACAGAAACACCAAAAAAATCGAAAATTGGAAATTCAAAAAATCGGAAAATCCTGAAATTGAAAAGTTGAGCAATTGAAATATTGAAAAATTGAGAAATCAAAAAGTCGATAGATCGATAAGTCGAAAAATCGCAAAATCGAAAATTTAAAAAATCAAAAAACTTGGAAAATCAAAGATCCGAAAAATTGAAAAATCCAAAAATCGAAACTCCGAAAATTCCAGAAATCGAGAAACGGGAAAAGGAAAAACCCGAAAAATCGAATATTCCAGAAATTGAAAAATCGAAAATTTAGAAATGGAAAACTTAACCAAACGGTAAACTGAAAACTAAAAAAATGGGGAACTCGAAAGAACGAAAAATTTTAAATTTAAACAATCGAAATGTTGAAAAATTGGAAAATCCAAAAATCAAAAAATTGAAAAATGGAGTATTTGAAAAATTGAAATATTGAGAAAAATAGAAACACGAAAAGCTCGAGAAATTGATAAATCGAAATAGTCCAAACAAAAAGTTAAAATTCGAAAAATTTAAAATTTAAAAAAGTTGATATACCGAAAAATTGAAACATTGAGAAATCGAAAAATTGAAAAAAACGTAATACACACAAGAATTCGATGAACTGAAAAATCGGGAGACGTCAAAATAAAAAAAACGAGAAATCGGAAAATTGAAAAATCTTAAGTTTAAAAAATCCAAATTTAAAAATCCCAAGTCGAAAAATTGGAAAAAACCGAAAAATTTCAAAATCGAATCATTCAAAAATTGTAACATTGAGAAATCGAAAATTGAAAAGATCAAGAAATCGAAATAGCCCAAACGAAAAATTAAAAATTGAAAAATTTTAAATTTAAAAAAATCGATAATTCGAATAATTGAAACACTGAAAAATCGAAAAATTAAAAAATATACAAATTGGACAATCGGAAAATGGAAATATCGGAATCTCGACAAATCAATAAAACGAAAAATTGAAAAATCGAGAAATCGAAACATCAAAAATCGAAAAACTGAAAAATTAAAAACTGAGAAGTTGCAAAATAGAACAATCTAGCCACCGAATTATCAAACAAATGAAAATCGAAAAATCTAAAATATCAAATGAAAAAATCGAGAAATTTCAAAGCTGAATCCGAAAATTGAAAAATAAAAAACCTGAAAAATAGAAAATTTCTAAACTTTGTTTATTTGACAAGCTTGGAAAATTTTAGGAATTTAAGAAATGTTAGTAGCAATTTAATAAACTTAACACTTGCAATATTATACTAAAATTTTTCTCGGTCATAGGTAGACATTTCACTAACTTTTTTCTCTTTTTTACTGTTTCTAAACTTGATTAATACCATCTTTTAGTTGTTTCTTAAAATTTAGTCTGATTCCAAAGTCGACTTAAAAAGAAATACCTGACTTTTAAATTGAACTTAATTTACAACAAAGAAAAATATGTTGTCAATACCAACTCACACCCTGTTCAGTTTGACATTTACGGTCAAACAACTGTCAAATAAAGTGTCAAAAACCTACAATGCCAACATCATTCTTTTAAAAATAAATTTCATGGCCCACTACATGGTTTTTTTGTTTTCATTCGAATCGTATAACCAGCTTACCAATTTAAAAAAACCAACAAACAAAGTGGCTATAAATTCCCCGACCTTTCTGCTCAAACATTATTTCACCATGAAACCCGTGTCCGCGTTGCTCCTCCTGGTCGTCTACACCCAAGCCGCCAAGTTTCGTGTGTTTGCAAAGTCACCTTCGACCCACCTTGATTATCTGTTTTGATTCCAGCTCCCAATTTCAAAAAATGCAACCGCAAAGAACCCGACCTGGACAAGTGTTTGAAGGAGGCGGCTCAAATCGGACTCACTCAGAGCGTCAAATACTACCCCCAAATCGGACTGCCGAGTTTCAACCCCCTGGAAGTGTCAGAACTGAAAATAGCACCTGGGAGCCAGTCGGTGGTGAACGTGGAACAGAATTTCAAAAACTGTAAATTCTACGGAATTAACGAAGCCAAAATTGACGAGTTTAAGTGAGTAGAAGGGTTGCGATGGGTGTGAGTGGTTGATGAAGGTTTGATTTTGAGGGGAAGTCCACCCATGGCAGAGGGGTGATTCCAGAAATTAAAATGTTGTGCGAGTACGAGGTGAACGGGAAGATTCTGCTTCTGGCGGTTGTGGGGTCAGGACCCAGCACCATCATTCTGAGTAAGTCATGGTTATTTTTTTTACCGGGTTAATTTTTTTTTTTTTTCAGAAAACGTAAACGTGACGGTGCATTTTGACTACGAAGAAGTACCAAAAAATGGGAAGACGTACGTTCATTTTACTACCAACAAAGTGACTTTGGACCCGGATTTTGTCTCTTTCAATTTTGAGAATCTGTTTAACGGGGATAAGCAATTAGGGGATGGGATTAATAAAGTTTTGAATGAGAATTACAGGGAGGTGTATGCTGATGTGAAGTCGGGGTACGAGGAAGGTCTGGGTTTAGTAGTGCAGCAAATTATCAATAATATGTTTTCGAAAGTATCGATGGAGGAGGCTTTGGATTAGTTTTGAATTTTTGTAAAGTATTTTTAGGTAGATTTTAATAAAATTTCAAATACCAACTCGTGTTTTTCTATAAATTAACAGATTTTTCTACTACTAATCGAGTACGTGATCGACTCTCCACTTTTCTCGATCTTTTATGACCCCTAGAGTACGAAAAAGTAGGTCTTCCGTTTCCGTCTGTCTGTCTGTCTGTCTACCGTCTATCTTACAGATCCCGATTTTTTGGAAAAAAGTCAAAATTGTATAATATTTTTCAAACGTTTTAAGGTTATCGTAAACATGATAAATCATTAATCAAAATTTATTAATATATCCCTTCCCAAAAACCTGATGACGTCATCTCAGAATTTTGCCGAATAAATCTGCTATTTTTGATGTCAGAGTTTGTTGTTTTTCATTTTCTTTAATTTTTCAATTTTGCGATTTTTCGATATTAGAGTTTTTCATTTTTCGGTTTTTCAGTTACTGAGATTTTATTTTTCGCATTTTCAGTATTTGTTGTCTCCATTTTGCAAATTGTTGATTTTTATTTTTCATTTGCCGACGATTTTTTATTTTCATTTTCCGATTTGATTTTTTGTTTTTTCATTTTCTTTATTTTTTCAATGATTCTTTGAAATTTTCAATTTCGCCATCTTTGGATTTCTCAATTACATATCCGATTTTCCTTTCTTCAATTTTCTATAGTTTGATTTTACAATATTTTGTTTTTCCGATTTTTTAAGTTCTCAATTTCAATTTTTTATATTTTTTAAAGTTTTTTATTTTTGATTTTTCAGTTTTATGATTTTGCAATTTCTCCACTTTTTTAACTCGAAAAATTGAAATTGAAAATTTATTCAGTTTTTCAAATTTTTATTCTTTGATTTTTCAATATTTACATTTTCCAAGTTTAAAATTTTCCAATTTCAATTTTTTTATTTCTCAATTAATTTTTTTTGCAATTTATTTAATTTTTAATCATTGGATTTTTCTATTTATTGTTTCTTCAATATTTTATTTCAAAGTTTGTTTTTATGCTTTGTCGTTTTTTATTTTTGATTTTTCAATTTTACAGTTTTGCATTTTTTTTATTCGAAAAATTGAAAAATCGAAAAATTGCAAAACGAAGAACTCAAGAAACGAAAAATCGAAATATCGAAAAACCAGAAATCGAGAAAATTACATATTGAAAAAATTAATGAAACGAAAAATTGGAAAACCCAAAAATTGTAAAATCAAAAAGTTATAGAATCGTCAAAATTCTAAAGTCGAAAAACATTGAAAAATCGTAAAACTGAAAAATTAAATATCGAGAAATTGAAAAATTAAAAAAACTAAAAATCAAAATTCAATAGTCACAAGAAGTAAGAATTCTAAAATTCTAAAATTGAAAAAACCAAAAATTTTAAAAATTATAATTGCAATCACATTCTTACATATTTTTTAAAATGAAAGCTAGAAAAATTGAAAAATTAAAAATGGAAACATACAAAAGTTGGAAAATTGAAAAAAAGAATAATTAAAAAATATGAAAGTTAGTTAAAATTTGAAAAATCCAAATATTGAAAAATTTCACAATGAACAAAGGAAAATTAGAATATCAGAACATTGAAAAACCGACAAATTGAAAAAAAAAAGAAAATGACAAACCAAAATGAAAAATTGCAAATCCAAAGATTGAAGAAATGAAAACTTGAAAAATCAGAAAACTCGGAGAGATGCACGTCGTAAAATTGCAGAAGAAAAAACTGAAAAACTGGAAAAATGCAAATCGAAAAAATAAAGAACCGATAAATTGAAAACACAAAAATTGTAAAATCAAAATAATGCAAAGTTGAGAAATTGTAAAAATAAAGAATATGAAAAACCGAAATCAAAAATTGCAAATCGAAAGTTGAAAAAACGAAAAATAAAACTATTCAAAAGTTAAAAAAATTACAAGTTGAAAAATCCAAAACGCAAAAATTTCACAATGAATAAAGAAGAATTACAAAATCAGGACATTAAAAAACCGAAAAGTTGAAAAAATAAAGAAATGACAAACCAAAACGAAAATTGCAAATCGAAAGAGTGAAGAAATGAAAAATCGAAACATCCAAAAGTTGGAAAATCGGAAAATTGGAAAATTAGAAGAGAAAACTCGGAGAGATATATATATCGTAAATTTGAAGAAGAAAAAAAAATAAAATCTGGGAAAATGCAAATCGAAAATATGTGGAATCTATAAACTGACAAAACAAAAAATTATAAAACCGGCACAATGAAAAATTGAGAAATTGTCAAAATAAAGAATATGAAAAAGTGAAACCAAAAACTGCAAATCGAAAACTGAAAAAGTAAAAAATAAAAAAAATTTAAACTCAAAAAATTTAAAAGTTAAAAAATCCAAAAATTGAACAATGACACAGTTATAAAAGAAGAATTAAAAAATCAGAACACTGAAAATCCGAAAAATTGAAGAAAACAAAGAAAATGACAAATCAAAACGACAAATTGCAAATCGAAAACGTGATTAAATGAAAAATTGAAAAATCGGAAAATTGAAATGTTAAAGATGGAAACATCCAAAAGTTGGACAAGGGAAAACTGGAACAATACAAAAGAAATAAACTTGGAATAATGAAAATTCGAGAAACTGTAAGCTTTTTGGATTTTGCATTTTAAATTTTTCAATTTTTCGATTTTTCAATTTTTTATTTCTTCAATCTTGCGATTTGCAAGTTTCGTTTTGGTTTATGCTTTTCTTTATTTCTTTTTCGGTTTTTCAATGTTGTGGTTTTCTAATTCTTTTTTTTTTCATTGTGAATTTTTTCAATCTTTGGATCTTTCGACTTTAAATTTTTTAACTTTAAAATTTTTTTATTTTTCTTGTTGGTTTGTCATTTTTTAATTTTTTTCAGTTTTTCAGTTTTTCAATGTTCCTATTTTTTAAATCTTCGTTTTTTATTGTGAAAATTTTCAATTTTTGGATTTTTCAAGTTTTAAATGTTTTAAGTTTAATATTTTTTAATTTTTCATTTTTTGAAATTTTTGATTTTGGTTTCTCATGTTCCTTATTTTTACAATTTTTCAATTTTTCATTGTTCCAATTTTATAATTTTTTGTTTATTCCGTTTAATTTTTTACAATTTGTCCTTCTTCATTTTTTCTATTAGGATTTTTCCAGTTTTTCATTTTTTTTCTTCTTCAATTTTACAATATGCATCCCAAAGGGTTTTGTTTGTAATTTTCTAATTTTCTGATTTTTCGACTTTTGCACGTTTCCATTTTTAATTTTTCAATTTTTCATTTTTTCAGTCTTTCGTTTTGCAATTTTTCGTTTTGATTTTCTTTATTTTTTTCAATTTATCGCTTCTTCATTGCTTCGATTTGCATTTTTCCAGTTTTTCATTTTTTTCTTCTTGAATTTTATGATATACACCACTCCAAGTTTTCTTTTGTAATTTTTTAAAAATGGAAATAACGAAAAATTAAAAAATTTAAAAGTTGAAAATCCAAAAATTGAAACAATTCACAACGAAAAAAGAATTAGAAGATCAGAAGATTGAAGAACCGAAAAATGAAAGAAATAAAGAAAATGAGAAACCAGAACGAAAAATTGCAAATCGAAAGACTGAATAAATTGAAAAATTAAAAAAAATTAGAAATGGAAACATCCAAAACTTGGATAAATGGAAAATAGGAAAATTACAAAAGAAAACTCGGAGAGATGCATATCGTAAAATTGAGGAAAAAAAAAAATGAAAAACTGAAAAAATGCAAATCAAACAATGAGGAAGCGTTACATTCAAAAAATTATAATGTAAATTTATGAAATAATAGACTTTTGGATTTTCTATTTTAAATTTTTCAATTGTTCGATTTTTCAATTTTTTATTTCTTCAATCTTTCCATTTGCAATTTTCGTTTTCGTTTGTCCTTTTCTTTATTTTTTTTCGGTGTTTCAATGTTCTGGTTTTCTAATTCTTTTTTTTCATTGTGAAATTTTTGAATTTTTGGATTTTTCAAGTTTTAAATGTTGTAAGTTCAATATTTTTTAATTTCTCATTTTTTGCAATTTTTGATTTCGGATTTTCATGTTCTTTATTTTTACAATTTTTCAATTTTTCATTGTTCCGATTTTATAATTTTTTGTTTTTTCCATTAATTTTTTTACAGTTTATCCTTCTCCATTTTTTCGATTTGAATGTTTCCAGTTTTTCATTTTTTTTCTTCTTCAATTTTAAGATAGGCATCTCCAAAACTTTTGTTTTGTAATTTTCCAGTTTTATGATTTTACAACTTTTGGACGTTTCCATTTTTAATTTTTCAAATTTTCATTTCATCAGTCTTTCGTTTCGCAATTTTTCGTTTTGATGTTCTTTATTTTTTTCAATGTATCGTTTCTTCATTTCTTCGATTTGCATTTTCCCAGTTTTTAATTATTTTCTTTTTTAATTTTATGATATGCACCTCTCCAAGTTTTCGTTTGTAATTTTTTGAAAATTGAAAAAACTAAAAATTTAAAAAATTAAAAGTTAAAAATCCAAAAATTGAAACATTTCACAACGAAAAAAGAATTAGAAAATCAGAAGGTTGAAAAACCGACAAATGAAAAAAATGAAGAAACTGAGAAACCAGAACGAAAAAATGCGAATCGAAATATTGAAGAAAAGAAAAATTGAAAAATCGAAAAACTGTAAAATTAAAAATTGAACCATCCGAAAGTTGGAAAATCGGAAAACTGAAAATTTACAAAAGGAAACGGAGAAAGGTGCATATCATAAAATTGCAGAAGAAAAAACTGGAAAACTGAAAAAATGCAAATCGAAAAAATGAAGAAGCGTTAAATTAAAAAAATTAAATGGAAAAAACAAAAACTATAAAAATTGTTAAAATAGAGTTTATGAAGAACCGAAACCAAAAATCGCAAATCAAAAATTGAAAAAACGAAAAATGAAAAAATTTAAACCTTGAAAAATCCAAAAAATTTAAAAATTTCACAATGTAAAATGAAGAATTAAAAAATTAGAACATTGAAAAATCAAAAAATTGAAAAAATACAGAAAATGACAAACCAAAACAAAAAATTGCAAATTGAAAAATCGAAGGAACGAGAAAACGAAAAATCCTTAAATTGAAAAATTAAAAATGGAAACATCCAAAAGTTGGAAAATCGGAAAACTAGAAAATTACAATAGAAATCTCGGGGAGCTGCATATCGTAAAATTGAGGAAGAACAAAAATGAAAAACTGGAAAAAAGCAAATTAAAAAGATGAAGAAGCGTTACATTGAAAAAATTATAATGTAAATTTGAGAAATTGTAAACTTTTGGATTTTCCATTTTAAATTTTTCAATTTTTCGATTGTGCAATTCTTTATTTTTTCAATCTTTCGATTTGCAATTTTTCGTTTTGATTTTCTCAATTTTTTTCAATTTGTCGCTTCTTCATTTCTTCGATTTGCATTTTTCCAGTTTTTAATATTTTTGTTCTTTAATTTTATGATATGCACCTCTCCAAGTTTTCGTTTGTCATTTTTTGAAAATTGAAAAAACTAAAAATTAAAAAATTTAAAAGTTAAAAATCCAAAAATTAAAACATTTCACAACGAAAAAAGATCGGAAAATTGAAAAACCAAAAAATTTAAAAAAATAAAGAAAATGAGAAACCAGAACGAAAAATTGCAAATCAAAAGATTGAGTACATTGAAAAATTAAAAAAAAAATTAAAAATTAGAAATGGAAACATCCAAAACTTGGAAAAATGGAAAACGGGAAAATTACAAAAGAAAACTCGGAGAGATGCATATCGTAAAATTGAAGAAGAAAAAATGAAAAACTGGAAAATTGCAAATCGAAAAATTAAAGAAGCGATAAATTGGAAAAACAAAAAATTATGAAATCGGAATAATGAAAATTTAAGATATTGTAAAATTAAAGAATACGAAAAACCGAAATCAAAAATTGCTGTTCAAAAATTGAAAGAATGAAAAATTCAAAAATTCCAAAGGTTAAAAAATTTTAAACTTGAAAAATCCAAAAATTGGAAAAATTTCACAATGTAAAAAGAAGAATTAGAAAAATGCAAATCGAAAAATTGAAGAAGCGATAAAATATAAAAATTAAATGGAAAAAAAAATTATAAAAGCGGAATAATGAAAAGTGGAAAAATTGTTAAAATAGATATTATGAAAAACCGAAACCAAAAATTGCAAATCAAAACTTGAAAAAATGAAAAATCCAAAAATTGAAATATTTCAAAAAAAAACAAGAATTAAAATATTAGAACAACGAAAAACCGAAAAATTGAAAAAATAAAGAAAACGACAAACCAAAACAAAAAATTGGGAATCGGAAAATTGAAGGACCGAAAAATTGAACAATGAAAAAATTGCAAACTTAAAAATGGAAACATCCAAAAGTTGGAAAATCGGAAAACTGGAAAATTACAATAAAAATCTCGGGAAGAAAATTGAGGAACAACAAAAAATGAAAAACTGGAAAAATGCAAATGAAAAAAATTAAGAAGCTTTACAAAAAATTAAATTGGAAAAGTAAAAATTATAAACCCTTGGATTTTCATTTAAAATTTTTCAATTTTTCGATTTTTCAATTTTTATTTCGTCGATTTTCCGATTTACAAGTTTCGTTTTGGTTTCTCATTTTTTTTTCGGTTTTTCAATGTTCTGATTTTCTGATTTTTTTTTTCTTCATTGTAAATTTTTACAATTTTTGGATCTTTCGACTTTTAAGTTTTTTAACTTTTAAATTTTTTAATTTCTCGTGTTGGTTTGTCATTTTTTTTTCAGTTTTTCAGTTTTCCAATGTTCTCATTTTTTAATTCTTCGTTTTTTATTGTGAAATTTTTCAATTTTTGGATTTTTTAAGTTTTAAATGCTTTAAGTTTAAAATTTTTTAATTTTTCATCTTTTGCAATTTTTGATTTTGGTTTTTCATGTTCCTTTCACAGTTTTTCAATTTTTTCGTTGTTCCAGTACTTCCAATTTTAAAATTTTTTGTTTTTTCCATTTAATTTTTTAGAGTTTATCCTTCTTCATTTTTTCGATTTGAAGTTTTCCAGTTTTTAACATTTAAATTTTTTAATATTTCATTTTTTCGATTTTGGATTATCGCTTCTTATAAAAAATTGGGATATCGAAAAATTGAAAAATTGAAAATGGAAACACCGAAAAGTTGGAAAATTGGAAAACTGGAAAATTACAAAAGAAAACTCGGAGAGACGCGTAATGTAAAATTGAAGAAGAAAAAAATGAAAACCTGGAAACACGCAAATCGAAAAAATGAATAAGAAATCAAAAATTAAAACATCGAAAAATTGAAAACTCAAGACATTTTAAATCGAAAAACTGCAAAATCTAAAAACTGACGAAACAAAATAAAAATTGAAAAATTGCAAACCGAAAAATCGAAAAAACAAAAAAATATCAATCAACTTTAAATAGAACGATGTCTAAAATATATTTCCATAAAATTTTGTAAATATTGAAACCCATATCGGCTTTTTTACGTAATTGATGTTATGTCTACTAATTTGTTGGTTATCCTTGTACATTAGTACAGGTCAAAATTATACTACGACCTCTCGCTTAAACTCGCCCAAAAATGTAACCACAAGGAAAATACTACTTTGTATTTCAAAGATTATTTTAATATACTTGAAATTACTTCGTGGGAATTCCTAATTAATGCAAAGGTTCTTCCAGTTTTCGGAAATTAATTATCGCCACTATGTTGCAATCGAAAAACCCAAATTTTTCTCGAACATCCGCATAATTATATCCCTGAAATTTCTCTCTCTTGACATTATAATTCGTCTATTTTCGCTACAGCCAAACCCAGAATTTAAATCGCCGCTGTCGTTTTATTTTACACTTCTTACTTAAAAACCACAACAAACAAAAAATTCATCGACGAAGTCAAATGTTAGTCCCATAAATAACTTTGTCTCGAATTAACTTATCATATTTATTCATCAGCTGTCAGCCGCAAGAAAATAACATAAATCCAGTCCCTACTAGCGTAGTTAACACCAGCTTAACAACATTTTAAAAAACCCACCAACACGCTGCCTATAAATGCGGCGATTTTTCAGCTGAAATATTATTTCACCATGAAGATCGTGCCCGCGTTGCTCCTCCTGGTAGTCTACTCCCAAGCCGCCAAGTTTCGTGTGTTTGCAAAATCATCTTCAACCCTCAATGATTACCTGTTGTAATTTCAGCCCCCAATTTCAAAAAATGCAACCGTAAAGAACCCGACCTGGACAAGTGCATGAAGGAGGCGGCTCAGATTGGACTCGCTCAAGGGTTCAAACACTACCCCCAAATCGGACTGGCGAGTTTTGAACCCCTGGAGGTGTCAGAACTGAAAATAGGAGCTGGGAGCCAGTCGGTGGTGAACGTAGAACAAAATTTCAAAAATTGCAAATTCTACGGAATCAACGGGGCCAAAATCGACGAGTTTAAGTGAGTAGATGGGTTGTGGTGGGTCTAAGTGGTTCTTAAAGGTTTGATTTGGAGGGAAAGTTCGTCAAAGGGAAAGGGGTGATTCCTGAAATTAAGATGTTATGCGACTATGAGCTGAACGGGAAGGTTTTGCTTTTGCCGATTGTGGGAACAGGACCCAGTACCGTCATTCTACGTAAGTTACTTTTTATTTTTTTTATTGTGTAATTTTTTTTTGTTTTGTTTTTAGGAAATATTAACGTGACGCTGCTTTTTGACTACGTAGAAGTGCCCAAAAATGGGAAAACGTACCTTCGTTTTACTGCCAATGAGCTGACTTTGGATCCCGATTTCGTTTATTTCAATTTTGAGAATCTGTTTAACGGGGACAAGCAATTGGGGGATGGGATTAATAATGTTTTGAATGAGAATTATAAAGAGGTGTATGCTGATGTGAAGCCAGGGTACGAGAAAGGTCTGGGTTTAATTTTGGAGCAAATTCTCAATAATGTGTTTTCGAAAGTTTCGCTGGAAGAGGCTTTGGATTAGATAGGAAACCCCATGTAATTTTAGGTAGATGTTAATAAAATTTGAAATACAAATTGGTGTTTTTTGTCCTTGAATTCAAGAGTTCTGGTATTCTAGAATTCTTCCTTTTTTATTCTTTCTTCTTCTTTTTCTTATTTCTTCGTTCTTCTGTCTTCTTTCATCTTTCTTCTTCCATCTTCCTATTTCCTAGATAATGGCCACTTGGATTATTTAATTCGTCAGATTCTTGGATCTTTGAGTTACTGGTTTCTTCAAATCTTGAATTTTTGTATTATTGCATTTTTGGATTCTTGAATTTTTGAATTCTTGAACACCGGATTTTTGGTTCCCTGGATTTTCGAATAATTAATTTCAACTTTCAGATTTTTTTATTCTTGGATTCTTGGAACTTTAGATCCTTGAATCTTGGAATAATTAATTTAATCTTTGAATTCATAAATTCCTGAATTCTTAAGTTTTTTGAGTTTTTGATTTGTTGAATTCCCCTCTTTTCGTTATTTCAACTGTCACTTTCTAATTCTTAAATTTTTCCGTTATTCAATTTTTCGAGTTTCAGGTATTTGTTTGTTCGATTTTTGGACTTTTCGATTTCTCAATTTTCCGATGTTTCAGGTTTGCGAATTTTCAGTTTTTCAATTCTTGGTTTTTTTATTTTGCAATTTTTCGATATTTCAATTTTGGGATTTTTCGATTCTCTACTACTGCGATTTTTAAATTTTAGATTTTTTAATTTTTCGATTTTCCGATTTTTCAGTTGTTAAACTTTTGACTTAAATTTTTCAGTTTTTTACTGTGTTTCGATTTTTCGACTTCTCAGTTTCTGATTTTTCGATTTTCCCATTTTTCGTTTTTAAATTTTTCGATTTTTCAGCTTTTCTCTTTCTGGAGAATTTGATATTTCGATTTTTGATTGTCCAATCTCTCAATTTTTCGAAGTATCGATTTTCTTAATTTTTTCAATTTTCAGCTTTTTAATTTTCCAATTTTGGCCTACTTTAATTTCCCAATTTTGCGATATTTTAGTTTTTCAATTTTTAAAATTTAAAATTTTTCTATTTGTTTATTTCTCGATTTTTCGATTTCCTTTTTCTTCCAATTTTTAACTTTTCGATTTTGAAAATTTTATAGTTTTCTATTTCTCGATTTCTAGATTTTTTGGTTTTTCAGGTCTTCGAACTTTTCAATTTTTGATTTTATCGGTTTTTGATGTGTTTCGGTTTTTCGACCTTTCATTTTTAGACTTTTCGGTCTTGGATTTTTGGGTTTTTAAACTTCTTGCTTTTTAAATTTCTCGATTTTTTAATTTTTATACTTTTCGACTTATCGAGATTTTTTGATTGCTCAATTTCTCGATTTTTCCTTTTTTCAATTTTAAATTTTTCAATTTTTCGATTTTTCAGTTCTTTAAATTTTGAAATTTGAAATTTTATAAGTTTTTGATGTGTTTCGACTTTTCACTTCTCGGTTTTAGATTTATGGGTTTATCAATTTTCGATTTTAAAAATTTTTGAGTTTCGAATTTTTCAGTTTTTTGGTTTCTAAATTTTTCGACTTATCAGTTTTTCGAATTTTTCTCTTTATCAAGATTTCGATTTTTTATTTGTTACATATTTCTATTTTTCATTTTTTTTTAATTTAAAATTTTTCAGTTTTTTACTGTTCGATTTTTCCATTTTGGCGTGTTTCGATTTTTCAATTTTTCGTCATTTCAGTTTTGGAATTTTTAAATTTCTCAAGTTTTTCGTTTTTCGATTCTTCAGTTTTCCGATTTTTTTAAAATGTGGTTTCTCGTTTTTTTGATTTTTAAATTTTAAAATTTGAATTTTTCGATTACCCAGTTTTAGATTTCGTAATTGTTTCATTTTCGGTTCTTTAATTTTCAATATTTCGCTTTTTACGTTTTTTACTTTTTCGTTTTTGGCATTTTTGATTTTGCAATTGCACAATTTTGCAATTTCTACATTTTTTTGATTTGAGAAGTCGAAGAAAACTGAAAAATACGAGAAGTTTCAAAAAATAGAAATCGAAAAAGTGAAGAAACGAAAAACTGAAATATAGAAATCAAATTCGTTCCTTTTCCTTCCAATTTTTCGAATAAATCGATTAATTGGAAAGAAAAGGAACGAACAAAATCAAAAATTATAGAATCGGCAAAATTGTGAAGTCGGAAAACGGTAACATGGACGAAAAGTTTTAAAATGCGATATAATTGAAAAATAGAAAAATTTTAATCTTAAAATTGAAAAAGCGAAAAATTTTAAAAACTATAATTATACTTACATATTTAAAGTGAACGGTAGAAAAATTGCAAATCCAAAATTGAGAAACTGGAACAACGAAAAATTAAAAAAAAACTTGTTCCTCGAATTCTTCAATTCTTTGATTCTTGAATTCTAATATCCTTAGAATCTCCAATTCTTAGATATTTCTTTCCTGGTATTTTTGAATTCCTGAATTCTTGATTGTATTTTGGTTTCGTGGATTCTTGAATTCTTAGATACTTCGTTCCTTGAGTTTTTGAAATCCTGAATTTTTGGTTTCTTGGATTCGTCGATTTTTGGATAATTAATTTGATTCTTGAATTAAAGAATTATTGAGTACCTAAATTTTTGAAATCTGGGATTCCTGGATTCTTGAATTCTTGAAATTTTGAATTTTTAAATTATTGAATTTTTGGATTCTTAGATCTTTGATTCTTGGATTTTTGGATTCTTTTTATTTGGACACGTCTTTCTTTGAATTCTTGAATTCTATAATTTTTGAGTTCTTGAATTATTGCTTTTTGTATTCTTGAGTTTTTGAATTTATTCCTTAAAGCTTTAAGATTTCCTGAATTTTTGAATTTTTGAATTCCTGAATTCTTGGTTGTATATTGGTTTCGTGGATTCTTGGATCCTTGAATTCTTAGATACCTATTTGGTTCTTCAAGTTTTTGAATTCCCGAATTTTTGTATTCTTGAATTCGTGGATTCTTGGAGAACTAATTTGATCCCTGAATTCAAGAGTTGTTGAATAGCTAAATTTTTGAAATCTGGAATTAATGGATTCTTGAATTCTTGAATTTTTGGACTTTTGGATTCTTAGATTTTTGATTCTTGGATTTTTGGATTTTTATTTATTTTCATGGATACGTGCTTCTTTGAATTCTTGGATTCCTGGATTCTTGAATTCTTGAATTTTTGAAATTTTAAATTATTGAATTCTTGGAATTTTGGATTGTTAGATTTTTGGTTCTTGAATCTTTGGATTCTTATTTTTGTTCATGGACACGTACTTCTTTGGATTCTTGGATGGTATGATTTTTGAATTCTTGAATTTTTTAATCTTTGGATACTTCAATTTATAATTCCTGAAATTCTCGGATAAGTAATTTGTTCTTCGAATACTTCAATTCTTTGATTCTTGAATTCTTAGATCCTCAGAATCTCGAATTCTTAGATTCTGGTTTCCTGGTATACCTAATTTATTTGATCCTTCATTTCCTGAATTTCTGAATATTTGAATTCCTGATTTCTTGATTGTATATTGGTTTCGTGGATTCTTGGATAATTAATTTGATTCATGAATTAAAGAGTTTTTGAATACCTAAATTCTTGAAATCTGGGGTTTCTGGATTCTTGAATTACTGAATTTTTCAAATTTTAAATTATTGAATTTTTGACTTTTGGATTGTTAGATTTTTGGTTGTTGAATTTTTAGATTCTTATTTTTTTTCATGGACACGGGTTCATTTGAATTCTTGAATTCTTGAAATATTGCTTTTTGTATTCTTTAATTTTTTAATATTTAGATACTTCATTCCTTAAATCCTAAAATTCTCGGATAATTAATTTGTTCCTGGAATTCTTCAATTTTTTTATTCTTGAATTCTTAACTCCTTGTTTCCTAATTTATTTAATCCTTGAATTCTTGAATTCCTGAATTATTGATTGTATTTTGGTTTTTTGGATTCTTGGATTCTTGAATTCTCAGATACTTGGTTTCTCGTGTTTTTGAATTCCTGAATTTTTGGTTTTTTGAATTCGTAGATTCTTGTATAATTAATTTGATCATTGAATTCAAGAGTTGTTGAATACCTAAATTCTTGAAATCCGAGAATCCTGGATTCTTGAATTTTTTAAATTTTAAATTATTGAATTCTTGGACTTTTGGATTGTTAGATTTTTGGTTCTTGAATTTTTGGATTGTTATTTTTGTTCATGGACACGTGTTTCTTTGAATTCTTTGATTCTATAATTTTCGAATTTTTGAATTATTTATTTTTATATTCTTGAATATTTGAATTTTTGTATACTTCAATCCTTAAATCCTGAAATTCTCGGATAATCAAATTGTTCCTCGAATTCTTCAGTTTTTTTATTCTTGAATTTTTAGATCCTTGTTGGGCTGGTATACCTGATTTATTTGATCCTTGATTTCTTGAATTCTTGAATTTTTGAATTCCTGAGTTCTTGAATTTTTGAATTCCTGAATTCTTGATTGTATTTTGGTTTCATGAATTCTTGGATTCTTGAATTCTTAGATACTTGGTTGATCGAGTTTTTGAATCTCTGAATTTTTGGTTTCTTGGATTCGTGAATTCTTGTATAATTAATTTGATCATTGAATTCAAGAGTTGTTGAATACCTAAATTCTTGAAATCCGAGAATCCTGGATTCTTGTATTCTTGAATTTTTGAAATTTTAAATTATTGAATTCTTGGAATTTTCGATTGTTAGATTTTTGGTTCTTGGATTTTCGGATTCTTATTTTTTTCATAGACACGTGTTTCTTTGAATTCCTGGATTCTATAATTTTTGGATTCTTGAATTATCGATTTTTATATTCTTGAATTTTTTAATTTTTGTATACTTCAATCCTTAAATCCTGAAATTCTCGGATAATCAAATTGTTCCTTGAATTCTTCAATTTTTTGATTTTTGAATTCTTAGATCCTTGTTTTGCTGGTATACCTGATTTATTTGATCCTTGATATCCTGAATTCTTAAATTTTTGAATTCCTGAATTCTTGATTGTATGTATTTTGGTTTCATGAATTCTTGGATTCTTGAATTCTTAGATACTTGGTTGATCGAGTTTTTGAATTTCTGAATTTTTGGTTTCTTGGATTCGTGAATTCTTGGATAATTAATTTGATCATTGAATTCAAGAGTTGTTGAATACCTAAATTCTTGAAATCCGAGATTCCTGGATTCTTGTATTCTTGAATTTTTGAAATTTTAAATTATTGAATTCTTGGAATTTTCGATTGTTAGAATTTTGGTTCTTGGATTTTTGGATTTCTATTTTTTCATAGACACGTGTTTCTTTGAATTCCTGGATTCTATAATTTTTGAATTCTTGAATTATTGCTATTTGTATTCTTGAATTTTTGAATTTTTGTTTATGTACTTCAATCCTTAAGTTCTGAAATTCTCGGATAATCAAATTGTTACTCGAATTCTTCAATTTTTTGATTTTTGAATTCTTAGTTTTGCTGGCACACCTAATTTATTTGATCCTTGATATCCTGAATTCTTCAATTTTTGAATTAATGAATTTTTGATTGTATTTTGGTTTCATGAATTCTTGGATTCTTGAATTTTTAGGTACTTGGATCCTCGAATTTTTGAATTCCTGACATTTTGGTTTTTTGGATTCGTGAATTCTTGGATAATTAATTTGATCATTGAATTCAAGAGCTGTTGAATACCTACATTCTTGAAATCCGAGATTCCTGGATTCTTGTATTCTTGAATTTTTGAAATTTTAAATTATTGAATACTTGGAATTTTCGATTGTTAGATTTTTGGTTCTTGGATTTTCGGATTCTTATTTTTTTCATAGACACGTGTTTCTTTGAATTCCTGGATTCTATGATTTTTGAATTCTTGAATTATTGCTTTTTGTATTCTTGAATTTTTGAATTTTTGTACACTTCTATCCTTAAATCCCGAAATTCTCTGATAATCAAATTGTTCCTCGAATTCTTCAGTTTTTGGATTCCTGAATTCTTAGATCCTTGTTTTGCTGGCACACCTAATTTATTTGATCCTTGATATCCTGAATTCTTCAATTTTTGAATTAATGAATTCTTGATTGTATTTTGGTTTGATGAATTCTTGGATTCTTGAATTCTTAGGTACTTGGATCCTCGAATTTTTGAATTCCTGAAATTTTGGTTTCTTGGATTCGTGAATTCTTGGATAATTAATTTGATCATTGAATTCAAGAGTTGTTGAAAACCTAAATTATTGAAATCCGAGATTCCTGGATTCTTGTATTCTTGAATTTTTGAAATTTTTAATTATTGAATTCTTGGAATTTTCGATTGTTAGATTTTTTGTTCTTGGATTTTCGGATTCTTATTTTTTTCATAGAAACGTGTTTCTTTGAATTCCTGGGTTCTATAATTTTTGAATTCTTGAATTATTGATTTTTATATTCTTGAATTTTTGAATTTTTGTATACTTCAATCCTTAAATCCTGAAATTCTCGGATAATCAAATTGTTCCTCGAATTCTTCAATTTTTTCATTTTTGAATTCTTAGATCCTTGTTTTGCTGGCACACCTAATTTATTTGATTCTTGATTGTATTTTGGTTTCATGAATTCTTGGATTCTTGAATTCTTAGGTACTTGGTTCCTCGAATTTTTGAATTCCTGAAATTTTGGTTTCTTGGATTCGTGAATTCTTGGATAATTAATTTGATCATTGAATTCAAGAGTTGTTGAATACCTAAATTCTTGAAATCCGAGATTCCTGGATTCTTGTATTCTTGAATTTTTGAAATTTTAAATTATTCAATTCTTGGAATTTTCGATTGTTAGATTTTTGGTTCTTGGATTTTCGGATTCTTATTTTTTTCATAGACACGTGTTTCTTTGAATTCCTGGATTCTATAATTTTTGAATTCTTGAATTATTGATTTTTATATTCTTGAATTTTTGAATTTTTGTATACTTCAATCTTTAAATCCTGAACTTCTCGGATAGTCAAATTGTTCCTTGAATTCTTCAATTTTTTTATTCTTGAATTCTTAGATCCTTCTTTTGCTGGTATACCAGATTTGGTTGATCCTTGATATCCTGAATTCTTGAATTTTTGAATTCCTGAATTCTTGATTGTATTTTGGTTTCATGAATTCTTGGATTCTTGAATTCTTAGATACTTGGTTCCTCGAGTTTTTGGATTCCTGGAATTTTGGTTTCTTGGATTCGTGAATTCTTGGATAATTAATTTGATCCTTGAATTCAAGAGTTGTTGAATATCTAAATTCTTGGAAATCGAAATTCCTGGATTCTTGAATTCGTGAATTTTTGATATTTTAAAGTTATTGAATTCTTGAAATTTTCGATTGTTAGATTTTTGGGTCTTAGATTTTTGGATTCTTATTTCTTTCCACGGACACGTGTTTATTGAATTCTTGGATTGTATAATTTTTGAATTCCTAAATTATGGCTTTTTTATTTTTTAATTTTTGGATACTTCAATCCTTAAATCCTGAAATTCACAGATAATTAATTTGTTCTTCGAATTCTTCAATTCTTTGATTCTTAAATTCTTAAATCCTTAGAACCTCGAATTCTTAGATCCTTGTTTCCTGGTATATCCAATTTATGCGATCCTTGATTTCCTCGATTCTTGAATTTTTGAATTCCTGACTGTATTTTGATTTCGTGGATTGTTGGATTTTCGAATTCTGGGATTCTTGAATTTCAAAACTTTGCGTTTTCCATTTACAAATTTTTTAGTTTTGGCATTTTAGAGTCGTAAAACTTGTATGAATTTTGCATTATTCTTTCTTTTTTTGTCAGCAACTATCTGATCGGATGATTATATGATTTTTTCGTCTTGAACTGGTTCCGGAAGAATAAAGTTCGTTAAACCTTCATGAATAAACCTTGTAATGGTATTATTTTTTGTCTTTTCCAAAGCTTTCGTGCTAATTAAGTACGAAGTGCCACATTTTTCACTGGAGAAATTACCAAACAACAAAATGCGACATAACGTCCACATGAATTGGTTGTTTTAATTGCTTGCTTTGTTTTAAATACTCTCATGTCTCAGTCGTCGGCACCACGAAAAATTCCACAGTATTACCAACCAAAATTATTCAACGACCTCATCGCAAAAATCCAACCACAAATAAAACGCTCAATTCGTGTTTATAAATTTATTAAAACTACAATACTGTTTGAACACCCTTAATTAATCAAAAGCCTCTTCCTCCGAAACTTTCGAAAACATATTATTAATAATGTGTTGCAGCACCAAACCCAGACCCTTCTCATACCCCGACCGAACATCAGCAAACACTTCGTTGGAATTCTCATTCAAAACCTTATTCACATTATCCCCCAACTGCTTATCCCCATTAAACAAATTCTCAAAATCGAACGAAACGAAATCCGGCTCGAGGGACAACTTGTTGGAAACGAACTTGAAGTACGTTTTCCCATTCTTTGGCTCCTCTTCGTAGTCAAAACGCACCACCACTTTGATATTCCCTGAAGAAAACCCGGTAAACACAGACACCAAAATAATTTTTAGTACTCACTCAGAATTATAGTACTGGATCCTGACCCGACTATCGGCAGCAGCAGGATTTTCCCGTTCAACTCGTAGTCGCATAGCATCTTAATTTCGGGAATCAACCCTTTCCCATGGGCGAACTTCCCCTCAAAGTCGAACCCGAACTCGTCCACTTTGGCTTCGCTAATCCCGTACAGTTTACAGTTTTTGAAATTTTGCTCCACGTTGACCACCGACTGGGATCCGGCTCCGATTTTCAGTTCCGAGATTTCCAGGGGGGCGAAACTGGCCAGGCCGATTTGGGAGTAGTACTTGGTGGCTTGGTTAACCCCGATTTGGGCCGCCTCCAAAAAACACTTGTCGATGTTGGGGTCTTTGCGGCTGCATTTTTTGAAATTGGGGGCTAGAACGACAAAATTGTCCGAAAAAGGGGTAAAATCGGGCTAGGACTTACGAAATTTGGAGGCTTGGGTGCACACTAACGAGACCAACAACGCTAGGACGAACTTCATGGCTGAACTAATCGTGGTAGGAAAGAAACGGTGCGTTTTTATAGCGCGTTTTTGGTTGTTGTTAATCTGATTATAATGCCTAGGTTAATTTATTCGTGGCTCCTGTCAAAAGAACCCTGTTTACAATTCAAAATTTTTTTTAGTTGAAAAAATTTACAGTGACTGGCAGCTCAGGCTTGTTAAACCGGTTTCATCAACAATTATTCTAGGAACTTTTGCTTGAAGGTTCCAGGTAATAAAAGCAATTAGACGCTCTGCTGGAAAATTATACTCCCAAATGGTTGGCGACGTGTGTTCCAAATACCCTTGAAACCAGTTCCACCTGTAAAATGAACACTAACGACCTCTCAATTAAAACAAATACAGGAATGTGGAACACGAATGAAACACCGCAGTGATTTTGTGGATGATTTTATTCGAAGCGCTTTCACTGTCCACCGGAGTAGTCGAAAGCTTCCTCCATGAATTTTTCGTTTCGGTTTTTATTTTCTTTATTGTTTTTATTTTTTTCAGTGTCCTAATTTTGTAATCTATCTTTTTTCAATCTGCAATTTTTTTGTTTCACGATTTTTAGTTTTCCAATATTTCACTTTTTCGTTTCAACTGTTCTTCGGTTTGAAAGTTTTTGATTTTTACATTTTTGGTTTTGAAATTTCTCGTTTTTTCAGTTTTCCGATTTTATAATTTTTCAACTTTTAATTTTTCGGTTTTTCGATTTCTCGAATCAAAAAATGGAAATTTTAAAAAATCTAGAAATTGTAAAAAATTAACAAACTTAAAAATCTAAAAAGTGCAAAATTCAAAAAACGAAAATGAAACAACGGAAAATCGGACTATTGTGAAATCCAAAAACTTGAAAATTATAAATTGATAAATCGAAGAGTAGAAAATCAAAAAATCGAAAAATTTAAAAACAAAATATTTAAAACCGAAAAATCTAAAAACTGGAAGGTCGAAAAATCGAAACAGAAATCGAAAAACTGAAAATTGAAAAATTTAAAAACGAAAAATAGAAAAATCGAAAAATGAAAAATTTTAACAATCGAAAAATCTAAAACCGAGAAGTCGAAAAATGGTAAGACTGAGAAATGGAAACACATGAAAAGACATAAAAATCTAAGTCAAAAATTGGAAGAACTGAAAAATCGGAAAATCAAGAAATCGAAAAATCTAAAATTTTAAAATTGAAAAATTAAAATTTTGAAACAAAATCCAAAAAACGAAATATCGAGAATTACAGAACATAATATTGGATAATTGCGAAATCCAAAAACTGGATAATTAAAAATTCTTAAAACACCGAAAACACGAAATTTAAAAACAGAAAAACCGAGAAATCACCAAATCGATAATTCCAAACTTTAAAAAAATTGCAAAAATTGAAAAATCGGTAAATGGAAGAATCGAAAAAGAGAAAAATTGAGAAATTTCAAAATTCCAAAACTGAAATTACGAAAAATTGGGAAATCAAAAAATTCAGAAACTGAAATGTCCAGAAGTCGAAAACTTAAAAAATCGAGAAATCAAAAAGTCAAAAATTGAGAAATCAAAATAGGCCAAAATTGAAAAATTGAATCGTTAAAAATTGAAAATTTTCAAATTTCAAAAAAAAAACGAAAAATGGAAATATTGAACATACAAAAAATTGAAATCTCGATAAATAAAAGAATAGAAAAATGAAAAAATTGACAAAATGATAAATCGAACAAATAACAAACCAAAAAGTCGACATCAAAAACCGATAAAATTTAAAATTTTTAAATTCGAGTAACTGAAAAATCGCGAAATCGAGAAATAGAAAAATCTAAAATTTTAAAAATTGAAAATCTAAAATATAGAAAATTTGGAAAATCGAGAAATCAAGAAATCGAAAATTCAAATTAAATCGAAAAACTGAAAAATCGAGAAATTGAAAAATTCCAAAACTTAAATGACGAAAAATTGGAAAATCGAAATCTGCAATTTTTTTGTTTCACGATTTTTAGTTTTCCAACATTTCACTTTTTCGTTTCTACAGTTCTTCGGTTTGAAAATTTTCGATTTTTATTTTTGGTATTGAAATTTCTCGCTTTTTCAGTTTTCCGATGTTTTAATTTTTCAACTTTTAATTTTTCGGTTTTTCGATTTCTCGAATCAAAAAATGGAAAAATAAAATGAAAACTTTCAAAAATCTAGAAATTGTAAAAAATTAACAAATTTAAAAGTCTAAAAAGTGCAAAATTCAAAAAACGAAAATGAAAGAACGGAAAATCGGACAATTGTGAAATCCAAAAACTTGAAAATTAAAAAATTAAAACATCGAAATATCCAAAACTTTAAATTTAAGAGACGAAAAATCGAAGAATAACTAAATCGAAAATTCAAAATTTAAGAAAATCGCAAAATTGAAGAATCGAAAAACTGAAAACTCGAGTACTTGAAAAATTCTCAAAGTAAAATGACGAAAAATTGGGAAATCGAACCCTCAAAGATCGAGAAAACGAAAAGTCAAGAAATCAAAAATTGAAAAACCCAAATACGCAAAAATGGAAAAATCGAACAGTTAAATCTCGATATATAGAAAAATAGAAAAATTAAAAAATCGAAAAATCAAAAATTTAAGAACCTAAAAATCTCAAGCCGAGAAGTGAAAAGTCGACATCAAAAGCCGATAAAGTTAAAAAATCAAAAATTCGAAGAACTGAAAAATCGCGAAATGGAGAAATAGAAAAATCTAAAATTTAAAAAAAATAATTTTAATATAGAAAAAATTGAAAAATCGAGAAATTGGAAAATCGAAAAACAGAAAACCCAGAAGTCAAAAAGTCGAAACAACTAAAAATCTGAAAACTGAAACATCCAGAGATCGAAACCTGAAAACATCAAAAAGTCGAAAAATCTAAAAATTGAGGAATTGAAATAGAGCAAAAACGGAAAAATCGAACAGTTAATAATCGAAAAATTGAAAAATTTAATATTAAAATTGAGGAATCAAAAAGGCGAAACATTGAAATCTCGATAAATCGAAAAGTAGAAAAACCAAAAATCGAAAAATTTAAAAACAAAAAATCTAAAAACTGAAAGGTCGAAAAATCGAAACAGAAACCGAAAAACTGAAAAGTGAAAAATTTAAAAACGAAAAATAGAAAAATCGAAAAATGAAAAATTTTAACAATCGAAAAATTGCAAATCGAAAAATCCAAAAACCGAGAAGTCGAAAAATGGTAAGACTGAGAAATGGAAACACATGAAAAGACAGAAAAATCTAAGTCAAAAATTGGAAGAACTGAAAAATCGGATAATCAAGAAATCGAAAAATTTTAAATTTTAAAAATGAAAAATCAAAATTTTGAAACATGGAAATTGGAGAAATTGAAACATCGAAAAACCGAAAAATTAAAAAATCTATAATTAAAAAATCGAAAAATTGTAAAATCCAAAAAACGAAATATCGGGAATTACAGAACATAATATTGGATAATTGCGAAATCCAAAAACTGGATAATTAAAAATTTTTAAAACACCGAAAACACGAAATTTAAAAACAGAAAAACCGAGAAATCACCAAATCGATAATTCCAAACTTTAAAAAAATTGCAAAAATTGAAAAATCGGTAAATGGAAGAATCGAAAAAGAGAAAAATTGAGAAATTTCAAAATTCCAAAACTGAAATTACGAAAAATTGGGAAATCAAAAAATTCAGAAACTGAAATGTCCAGAAGTCGAAAACTTAAAAAATCGAGAAATCAAAAAGTCAAAAATTGAGAAATCGAAATAGGCCAAAATTGAAAAATTGAAGCGTTAAAAATTGAAAAATTTAAAATTTCAAAAAAAAACGAGAAATGGAAATATTGAACATTCAAAAAATTGAAATCTCGATAAATAAAAGAATAGAAAAATGAAAAAATTGACAAAATGATAAATCGAACAAATAACAAACCAAAAAGTCGACATCAAAAACCGATAAAATTTAAAATTTTTAAATTCGAGTAACTGAAAAATTGCGAAATCGAGAAATAGAAAAATCTAAAATTTTAAAAATTGAAAATCTAAAATATAGAAATTTTGGAAAATCGAGAAATCAAGAAATCGAAAATTCAAATTAAATCGAAAAAATGAAAAATCGAGAAATTGAAAAATTCCAAAATTTAAATGACGAAAAATTGGAAAATCGAAATCTGCAATTTTTTTGTTTCACGATTTTTAGTTTTCCAACATTTCACTTTTTCGTTTCTACAGTTCTTCGGTTTGAAAATTTTCGATTTTTATTTTTGGTTTTGAAATTTCTCGCTTTTTCAGTTTTCCGATGTTTTAATTTTTCAACATTTAATTTTTCGGTTTTTCGATTTCTCGAATCAAAAAATGGAAAAATAAAATGAAAACTTTCAAAAATCTAGAAATTGTAATAAATTAACAAACTTAAAAGTCTAAAAAGTGGAAAATTCAAAAAACGAAAATGAAAGAACGGAAAATCGGACAATTGTGAAATCCAAAAACTTGAAAATTAAAAAATTATAACATCGAAATATCCAATACTTAAAATTTAAAAAACGAAAAATCGAAGAATAACTAAATCGAAAATTCAAAATTTAAGAAAATCGCAAAATTGAAGAATCGAAAAACTGAAAAATCGGGTACTTGAAAAATTCTCAAAGTAAAATGACGAAAAACTGGGAAATCGAACCCTCAAACGATCGAGAAAGCGAAAAGTCAAGAAATCAAAAATTGAAAAACCGAAATACGCAAAAATGGAAAAATCGAACAGTTAAATCTCGATACACAGAAAAATAGAAAAATTAAAAAATCGAAAAATCAAGAATTGAAGAATCCAAAAATCCAAAGCCGAGAAATGAAAAGTCGACATCAAAAACCGATAAAGTTAAAAATTCAAAAATTCGAAGAACTGAAAAATCGCGAAATGGAGAAATAGAAAAATTTGAAATTTAAAAAAATAATTTTAATGTAGAAAAATTGAAAAATCGAGAAATTGGAAAATCGAAAAACAGAAAACCCAGAAGTCAAAAAGTCGAAACAACGAAAAATCTGAAAACTGAAACATCCAAAGATCGAAACCTCAAAACATCAAAAAGTCGAATAATATAAAATTTAATAT